GGCAGGACCAGCGTGGCCACCAGCACGTCCGAGACGGCCATGGACACCACCAGGTTGTACGGAGCGCGGTGGAAGGTGCGCACATGCGCAATTGTCGCCAGTACCAGCGCGTTCCAGGCGAAGGTCGCTGCCACCAGACAGCCGAGCAAGGTCAGCACAAAGGCGCCGAGCACCGAGAGGCGGAGCGGGCGGGGGCGCGGGTCTTCTGTGCCCAGGCTGAGGTTGGTCGTTAGGTTCCCAGGCAAATCCATCTTGGGTCAGAAGCCCGGCCCAGGGTGCGTGCCGAGGGCTTTCAAGAGGACATAAGTGGTCAGTGGGCAGTGGCAGGGCTGCTGGGACCTGCTGCCCGTGAGCATCTGTGGGAGATGGCGTGGAGGAGAGGAGGCGCTGCGCTACACGCAGAGGCAGGTCTGAGCCCCTCTGAGGCTAGGGAAGCGGGGCCCGGGAGCCGTGTCTCAGCCAGGCCCGCCTCAGCTGCCACCGCCCGCCTGGGGCTCCCCGCCTTGGCGGAGACAGCAGTCTGGTCACCCGTAGCCGAGCATCTCCCAAGCCGGGAAGAAGCTGGGCGAAAAGGGTGGTGCGTCAGAACAGGACTCCCAGGCGCTCTGCCCGCGTGCCCGCCCCTCGCTCCAGGCGGCAGGCGGCAGCCTCGATTGCATGCGGGAAGCCAAGCCGGGACCTGGTGCTTTCGGGGACCTGCCTCCGCTGCCCTGCCCCACCCGGTCTGGGGCTGCAGCTCCGGGGAGGGAATCCCAGCGTGCCCACCCGGACCAGCTTTATCAGACAGGGGACCCAGGCTACGTCAGAGTCAGCTGATAAAGTCGCCCCTCCCCACCTCTCACCCAGCTGCAGTGCTGTCGCTGTCCGCGGTGCTGCCGCCTCTCCGCACCTAGCGCTTTGTCTCATTTGGTGCTGTCCACGGTTCTGTCGCTTTTCCCTGAAATAAGTTCCTGAGGGAGCAAGTGTATCAATGAACTTTCCTTTATATATATAATTTGTATTGATTTCAGAGAGGAAGGGAGAGGGAAATAGAAACATCAATGATGGGAGAGAATCATTGATTGGCTGTCTCTTGCACGCCCACACTGGGGAGCCCTCAACCTGAGCATGTGCCCTGACAGGGCATCAAACCGTGACCTCTTGGTTCATAGGTCCACGCTCAACCACTGAGCCACGCTGGCCAGGCCCAACGAACTTTCCTTGAAATGTTCCCCAAGCCGCCCCCTGCCCACATCTCCCAGGGGTGGTCTGGATACCCAAGGGGGTCCCCAGCTTTGTGCAGGCGCTTGTCCTTAGTGCAGGTGTCCCAGTTTAGGGTCTAAGATAATATCACTGGCTTTTTTCTCCAGAGATTTCAGTTGCCTCCCTCTTACACCCCTGCCCCACCCAGTGCTTCTCTTCAAAGGCGGTTTCCCTTTAAGGGGAAAAGGCAAGATATCAGTTACTGCTGTTCCTGGAGAGGCTGCGGTGGAGCCAGCACCTTTAGTCCACTTTCCAGCATCGCAGAGAACCTGCCAGACTCCAGTGGGCTCTGCCAAGCTCACTTCCAGGGAAGGGAACATCGGTCACAGGTTGTCTGAAAAGCGCCATCTCACCTAAAGGGGGGGGGCATTTAGTTCTTTCCCAGGCATGCTCACATACATACACATCCACAGTAGCTGAGGAAATACTGAAAGCTCCTGCCCAGAGTTACGACTTCAGGCACTGCACAAATAGACATGTGATGTGCAAGATCACACAAGTGGGGATGAGGAAAAAGATGACACCAAGAAAATAAAGTGGCATTACGCATATTTTAAGTGCATACAGTGGGTGTCATGAACTCTGTACATTGACAGTTGGGTGGCCTTTAAGCTACTTTAAAAAGGAGACACATGTCTTTTAAAATATATA